ACAATGAACCCAGCAACGAAGAATCACGCGCTCGGGGCTATTAGAATTGCAAAGCAAACGCGGAGGAATCGTAGGACGATGACAAAAACTCAGACGGATAGAGAACATCTCGGAGAACAAATTATGCGAATGATCAGCTCGAATGAAAGATTTCGTTCGCCTGGAACGATAACGAGACGACTTTATACATGCGTGTTCCGCGTGTGACGAAACAGGTTTGCCGATGATTAAAACGATATTATCATAATGTCCTCCTAATAAAACACAGCTGACAACTCTCACGGTATCCAAAACACGCGTTACCTGAGTCCGTGAATCGTAAATTACGGTTCTGGTCATAAGTCAGCGAGATCGACGTCGAAAGGCGCGCATAATTTTCAGATTCGAGCTCTGTCACGACCGCTGGGCAACACCCAGCCGAGTCCGTTCGGTAATTTAACAGCACAATGCGTAACATGGCTGACCGGAGGTTCCGTAACGACGAAAGTTAATTGACCGAACGCCATTGACCGGGTAAATTAGAAGAACCATTAACATAGTAAAAGCGTGCCGTCTGTTGGCCTCGTTCCGATGATTAATCGTTTCTAATACGGCTCTGATAGACCACCTCAGCAGCCACCGTTCACGTAGCACTGATTAACCACGAAAACTCGTTAGGGATCTCATTTCTTCGCGTTCACGAGTGTCCAGAAAATTGCTCGTCCATCCAATCCACTTTCGAGCTCTACTCTGACTGTGAGTCTAAAATTTCTCGGGAAATGGAAATTGATAGGTGTGGTTGGAAATAAAGGTATTTTTGTACGTCTTTTTCGTACGGAAAAATAAATTTCGCGAAACTGGAAAGAAAGACAGCTCGAGATGGAAGTGTATTCCAATTTGCACGGGATCTCGCGTTACAAGATAGGAAAATGGCGATTCTGTTTCTCGGGAGATGGATTAGAATTGTACTATAATTTTTTCGAACCTATAATGATACTTGGTCCCTCTGGCAGAGGAAGAGATTAGGCGAAATGGCGGCTGAACGCTGTTCCAAAGGCAAACGTCAACAGATGCTAGATTATACCGTGTAACGCGAACTCGTAGTTCGGAGTGATTTCCAAAGTAGTTATCCACGACCCGTAGTTATAGTGGACAAATGTTGGCACAGCGAAGATCCGTGTAAACGGAATATATTTTAATTTCCAAAATCGACTAGGAATTTACTATAAATTTACTATAAATTTACTACGAATTTACTATGAATTTCTCCTCCTTTCCCCATTAATCGAATATTCATTTCGCTACTCGGATACTCGCGACTACGTTCCTCCGCCGCGATGATATTTTCCGATTTCTCCCGATCGGCCAGCAAAGTTTTCCATCCTCGAATTTTTAACTTCTCGCCTTTGCGAGTCGCGAGAAAAATTCGTTTCGTTGCTATACCTCGGAGCAACGTTAAACTGCTAAACTGGAGCACGTCGAGGAGTGACGAAGGAGCCAAGGTAAGCTGCAAGTAATTGTATAACCGGCTTCCGAGAAACGGAACACGTATGTCGTGTCGTCGGTGTATGTATTTGTCGTTGCTGTCGCCGATCGACTCGATATTCCAACGGTGACGAACAGATTTTTACGACAATGTGGGTGGAGGATCGAGATTTTACAACTCGCCGAAAGGAAATTATAAATTATAAATTTCCCGTGCCAAAGAGGAATTTCACCTACCACGATTAGATCACGAGAATACGAATCGAACGTTCCACGAATTGCTACAAAGATTGGCAGAAAAATCTCTATCTGGAGCGAAATATAAATTTCTAAATCGCGTCACGAGTTTTTGCTCCGAAAGAAATGATTTGAAAAATAAATGGCTCGATGGAAAATCATCGGGATCGAGATCTGTCGGATCTGGAAGTTCGGTTAGAAAATAGGAGGAAAAATACAGAGCGGAAAGGTGGCGCTGGCAGTGAGAAGAAAAAGGAGTCGCGTCAAAGTGAACACGCGTCGGGCTACGCCTTTCTAAATTCGACGATACAATGTCGGATACGTCGTTGGAAACAAAGGGACAATGGCGGCGCGGAGCGAAATAGAAGGGAAGGAAAAACTGGCTAAATAAGCCGTGAGAGGGCAAGTAACGAGGCATATAATAACCCACGGTGACATTCGAACAAACAGCCATCTGTAGGTAATACCCCTGTGGTGTGTGACGCCCCGAAAACTGCGCCCCGCCAAGAAATTACAATGACAATGAACGAAATCCGACGCGCCTGCGGGCATCCACTCTAGTTTTATTTCTCCTTCGCACCTCTGACACGCTCGCCAAACGTATTTAACCGTGGAGATCGTGACCGGTACACCTTTTCCGCCATTGTATCGGCTATTCGGAGGAATCAAGGGTTCCCGCGTTCCTTTCGCCGATATTCCACGAGAACTCTCTAAACTCGCAATTTTAATCGTCCTACCGAAGATTTACGCGCGGAAATATTCGAATTTAAAATTTCGAAGCGATGAAACTAAAAAATTTGCGAGAAATTAATTTTCCTATTCTACGTAAAACAGAATCATTGGATCGCGAAAAAATATTAATTGATCTACGATAAAAATTCTACACGGTATTTTTGACTTTTAGAAATTGGTGGCCCGATAATTTTAACTCTTTGAGGACGGAGTTGGAAATTAATCCTACCATGGAGTCGAGTTGCTGTCAGGATAGACATTTCAAATTGCCAGTGCACGTTTCTGCCTAGTAGCTATTTTCGTTGATAGCACTCCAAACTGTCGAATTCTAGACATACGTTGCCATAGCGATGCGTTTACGCGACACACGCATGCGTGTCTTTCGACTCTATCACTTGTTTTCACCAAACGCACATATGTGACCGTAGTTCGCAAAGGAATAATTTCGTGAAATATTTTATTCGGTGAGAAGAGGTAAAAATCGAAATTTCTGGCGTCTAGTCGCAACGTATGGCAAATAGTGTCGAGGAAAATTGAGAAAAAGGATATCCGCGACGAAGGAAGGAAAGTCGCTGTGAACCGGCCATCCTTTCTTCCTTTCGTTCGATCCTCCTCTCTCCCAGAGTACTATCTAACTAGTTATCACTCGTTAGTCAACGCTTTGATAAAACAGTCTCGAACGTAAGAGCTCTCCTAACCGATCCGATTAAGGACTTCCTGTTCCACGCCTGCTCGCGAGCCAAACCGCATCTGAGTACCGAAAACGAGAATGGCTTCCTGTAGAAAACTCGACCAATTCCGATGTAACCGCGATTCCATCTTACCAACTCAATCAACGATTCCTCGAGATCGCGCTTCCCGATCGTTGCCCTAATTACGACACAAATTCGACCCGATTTCATCGAAAACTCGCGTGTAATCGGGGACAGAATCGCGAGATTCTCCATGGTCCAGAGGAAAAAGAAGCGAGGATAAAATCCGCGTGTCCTCGCAGCTAAGCACGCGCGCGTGACACTTTCGCAACGCGCGTTAAGCTGGCCGCGATTCTCGTGGATCTCGCGCGGATCGACGCACGCGATCCAGAGGATCGGCCGAAGCGCAAGTTTCCTTATAACAGAGACATCGTCGCGATCCACGACACATCCTCCTCTCCGACGGATAACTGGTTCAGCGTTACGCAACCGAGCGCATTGGGCAGCCTCTGCCACCTGTGCGTCTCTATTCCACCGCGTGTAATCATTTACCTGTCCGAGTAAGAAAAATTCTGCCTCGACTGCGCGCATTCAACGAAACCGTTTGTATAAAACGGTTATCTATATGTTTATAGTTCCGAGAATCGGTAACGAGATCGGCGTGAAAGTGCGACCCACTGCCGGCTAGGCGATTTTATTAAGCGTGTTTCGAAGATAAACCTTTAATTAGACCGATGACGCATGGACTTTTACCTATCGCGATCTAGGCACTGGAAAATGAGAAATCAATTTTACCGGGTGCTCGGGTACGGCCCTGCGAGGGGGCACCAGGGGTGCTCGAGGCCGGGTTCGTTATCTGTCAGTTTGGCAATCGGCGAGACCTTTTTCCGCGGCTATCTCGATCGTTAGAGCCTAGGAATGGAAAAATCTGACTAATTTTTCGCGAAACTCGGATCGTTTCGTTTTGTCACGCGATTTAATGGGGAATATTAGCGGATAAGCGACGTTTACCTACTCTATATTTAAGGCTCGACTCTGTGACTCGATCAACGAAATTGCGGCAATAAGACGAGACGCGTATTCCCAATAATAACCTGGCAAAAATTCCTCTTCCACAATTTTATCAATATCCGGATTATTTTTTACCCCTCTGAAATTACCTGCACGGGTCGCTGTGGTAATAACACGGGCAAAAACGGCCGATTTTCAGCAATCAGACGAGGCTGGCAACGGGATACACGAGAAATCGGTAGCCGATCCAGGATCAAAACGATGTTCAGTCGCGCTTCATTTCGCTCGCAATTACGACTGTTAGAAGAGTATTTAATGGCGGAGGAAGCGCCAAGGCCATCCGCCTTTTTATCTTCCCGCCGCGATTTCAAATTCAGGCTCCGTCCACGGAGTAGCAGTCGACGCGACACTCGGGCAGATAAATTCTAATTAAAAGCGACAAGTTGCCGGCATGGCTGCTTTATATTTCCGGTTGCGCCGCGGACACGTTTTCTACCGGGGGATAATACCCGCCGCCACCTCGGGCTCGTTTATCCCTTCCGTAAAATCCCCGTTTTTGCGCTCTCGCGAAGCGTCAATTCGTTGCTCGTAGTCGGACGGTGTCTGAGCAGCCGACGCGATTTCGAAAATTAAAAAAGACCGTATCTCCGTGGAGATAACAGGTCGACAAGGTAGTAAATCGAAGCGGCGCCTGTGATAATGAGCGATTAGCTGGGAACGGGCGAAAATGGAGGGAACGCGATCATCTCGATGACGAACGAGCGTCTTCGCCTAGTGGATGAAATGCTTCGGAACGGTTATGGGGTATACAGCTACGGGGTAATATTCCTCGATTACGGATAGATTACGGAAGCTGTTACTTACTTTTTAGGAGAGGCAGGTCGTTCATGAACCCTCCATCGTCTACGTTTGTGTTCTGAAACGGGAAAGAGCGCGTAAGAGATTCGAGTGTATACATATTCATAAGAAAGTCGTGTTCTAACGTAGCTCGTATTGAAAGGAAAATGTTGTCGGGATATCTCTTAAAAGTAGCTACTTCTTTTACGTGTAACAAAATGCCACTTTAAACTACGCTATTTAGCATCTCGTCGATCCCGTAAATCGGTTCCGAGCGAAATACACGAAATTCCTATTTTATACTCGATGAGAAGAATTGGCGAATTAATTTAAAGATGAAATTATCTCATCGCCGACAACATAATTAACGGACTCGTATTCGTGGTTGCATGAGGAAAGCATCGGATTCTCTTATTTATCGAAAAAGAATTTGCATCTTCGACGGAATTATGCAAATAGGAAACGCAACCACGGATATATTTCCAAGGAAAGAAGAAAGAAAAAGAAAAGAAAGAAGAGAGGAAAAGAATGATAGAACGTTACGACTGACTTAGGAATTGTACATATAAATACTATTAGCATTTTCATTGACAAAATGGGTAGGAGCGCAACAACGGTAGAACGATAATAGAGAAAATGCGTTGCGATTACGTACATCGTCGCTCACCTGGGGGTCGTCTACGAGGCTGCTGTGGAGAACGAGGTCGGTTTGGTCGAGGCCTGGGGGTGGCAGAAGGGCGTCAGGACGGCGAACAGCGCCGTATTCGACGCCCCTTCCGCCCCCGCCTCCGCCGCCGCCACCACCTCCGCCGCCACCGCCTCCGCTACTACTGCGTCCACCGTCGTACGGAAACGACGCGTGCATGTTCGTCTGAAATTCATACCAAAACAGATACATCGATTAATCACGGTCTTCCACAATCTCCTTCGCGTATTAAAAATTCGCCAAGAACGTGACAGCGTTTTAACCCTTTCGCGACGACGCACCTGTACCATACTCCGTACACCATCGGCTTCAGCCGCTGCGAAACAATAAGTGACTGCCGTATATATACGTCACTCGTCGCGAAAGGGTTAACACTCGCGAATAAACTCTGCCGACGGTCTAAAAATTTTTAAATTAAATTTAGAATTAACCCGTTGCACTGCGCTAAAACTCGGAAAAAGCCGTGCCCTAGTGTCGGAATTTGAAACACGATATGCGAGATAGCCGCGCCCGTATTCACTTAACGTGATGGAGCTCTCGTGAAATTCAAATGAATTTGAATTAAACACTTTTAAAAAATATTTTAATTATCACATATTTATGTATTTATTTTACATTTACGTTTAGCTTCGAGATGTTATCTGTACCACGAAAAGTATCACTATCTCCTAGATAATACGTGGCCTGCACGGGGACACACGATCCCATTCGAGATATTCATATTTGGCCAGAAATTAGGACCACGAGTCAGATTCGTGATACTCACGTTTGGCCCGAAAAGTCGATCACGAGTCAGACTCGTGTCATTCGCGTTTGGCCCGCCATGTCGATCACGAGTCAGACTCGTGATATCCACGTTTGGCATAAAATTAAACAACGAGCCTGACTCGTGATACTCAAGTTTGGCCTAGAATTCTTATCACGAGTCAGACTCGTGAAAATAGTGCAAAGGGTTAATAAGGACGATCGAAAATTCGGAATGAACATTTCGATATCTAAATTCGCATATTCTCGCGAGTACTCTCGAGCACGCCTACCATGATCGATCTAAACGATTTCATTCGTCGATGTAAGTACGCATTTATCGAGATTCCGATGAAAACGAAATCGCTGTTACGAAAACGCTTGGAAAGAATCGCTGAATGATCATGATCAGGGTACAATTACTTTCCTAGTAAGTCCGAACGAGCAATGCTCGGTTGTTCAGGGACTACCTTTTGCGCGGATCCTCGTGTTCGTTATCTTATTCTAGGTCACGGTGTGTATCAGAAATCTAACGCATGCTTTTAATAGGCCATGACTCGAGAGAGAAGGCACGCGTATTACCTTTATGTCACTATCGTCCAAGTTATCGCGCGATTCCCTCGTAAATTCGTTGCTATCCCGCTCTAACGCGTCTTCTTTTATCCCCATCTAATTCGAACCTGTGTAACTTCTTACGCGTCCGCCAATGAGATAAAGTATTCCCGTAACCGGGACTGTCCCGCGATAAAAGGATGGAGTAAAAAGGAGAGGAGAGATGAAGATCGGTAGACGCGAAATTGAAAGGGGACTGAATTGCCATATCTCGAGAGCGTGTCTCGATGACTCGGCGATTAGGTCTAGCCGTTGATACGATCTCGCGCGGGCACGTAAATGGAATAACGTTAGGCGAATCACGGGACACGGGACGTTTCGTGGTCTCTTCTACTCGTGAGAAACTACGTTGCTATGCAAACTCCTCGTGGCAGTGGCAAAAATACGGTTCGCGATTTTCGGAATTTTCCCGGCGTCTCCCCCCACCCCCGCCGCGACGAAATGAACCATAAATCCGCGCGGTGACATGGGGTTAATTTAACGGAATTATAAATAAAGTTCCAACTGGTCCGATAATTCGGCGAGGCGAACGTCGGATATTAAAACCAATTAAAAGCTCGATAAATCCGGTATCGCCGGACGATTACGTAAATCACTGGTCCGTGCAGTTTTAAGGGACATCGCTCACCGGGCTGGCCGGGAAAAATTAATTTTGTAATTCGCAACACACGCGGGACGTTGGCAAAAGTGCAGCATTAAGGGGCAACGCCGGGCCCCGGTTGTAAACGATAAGCGAAACCCGTTCATAAATATTTGATTATTAACAGAGATCGCATTTATTATTGTCGCGCGGTACACGCGGTTATATCATTGCCGCATAAATTATTATAATCAGCTTTATAATAGGATGTGTAGATTAAAATTCAAAAGCGATGAAAATTGATGTTTACGATCGGCGATCGCGTCCGTTCGCGATTTTAATGCGGCCAGCCAAATATTATTCCCTCGGCTGTTGGCGCTTCGGGTAAGGGCCGAGTCGCCGATAAATTAATGTAATTGCTTATTAATCGCGAGCGGGGCAACGAAAACGCGTTATTCCAATTAACCGAGATTCGTGGACACGCGATCGAAGCGGAGGTAGCAAGCGCTCTTACGTAAGAAGCCGCGCGTACGTAAGCGATGTACGCGCGCACGCTCGGAGAGGGATAGACGCGCGGAGAGAAAGAACGAAGACGGTCTTCCGAGAATCGAAACGCGAGATAGACATACGTTCGGAATCTTAATCACATCCGTCGAGAAAAACCGGAGATTTTATCCGGACTGCGAGTCGCGAGTGTCACAAATACGGTTGTATTACGAGCCCTTGCCATTATTGTCGTATATCTTTCCTATGCGATCCACCGCGAGGTTCCCGCGTCCAGAAGAAATCTCCGCGCACGTTTCTCCCATTTCCTTCCCAGATTCTTCCACCCATTGTAATCCTTTTCTCCGTTACGACTATTCCAGATCGCCGCGATACGTCCTCGTTTCTAAGCAGCCAACGCGGAACGGCGAAATTATCGGGCCCCGTTGCGCACGGGGTACCAATTGCTGGGGCTAACGCGTCAGCGGACGTCATGGATTTCCCTGGTTCGAGAGAATTCGAGAAAAACGACGAGAGAAAAGCGATACAAAGATTGAAAACGCGAGACGATGATTCCGTAACCGATAGCACCGAGTTACTTTCTCCCCGTTGCTTCGTTTTCTTCCTTAAATATCCGTTAATTATTATTTTCCTCCGGAGCAAAATGCCGGCGAGCGTATTACGACTGCGTAATTACGATCTCATCGATTAAAACAATTAAAATCCACTTTCAATGATAACGTCGTGAGCTAATGAATACGTTATTTAGCGATACGCGTTCTATGTTAATGAACTTTAAACGAGTTTCATATCCTCGTTCGGAACGTTTTCCTATCCGACTGGGCAAAAAGATTAAAAAGTCGTTAGACGGAAACGTTCGAACAATTTCAATCGACCAGCGCCGATAAACTTTTTAGCTCGTTGAGATAAGGTGGTCGAAACGAATAAATCGGTCGAAATGGAAGTCCCCGCGAGATAAAAACAATTACGAGTACAGCGGCCGATAAAACGCGAGCGTTACGCCGATCGCTCTGTTATTTCTCACGACTAATTAACCGCTTAAAACGTGCTCCATCATCGGCCGGACAGTGACATCGATATTAATACGCGAGACTGGCAAATTAGCCGAGCATCGGCTCGTTTCTGTAGGAGAAACGCGTTGTTCCGAAAACCTATGAGTGTAGCTATGAAAATCCCGGGTCTACGTTTTACCGGGCATAGGTTAACTCGCTCATTTATCACCGTGGATCCTCGCGATCGGCTAGAATCCGTGATCGCTATCGACGCGATCAACGGCCGCGTAATTGCATTCGGCTAATGCGAGAAAGTGGTCCTGTGTCGTAGTATAAAGTTCGCACGATCATGCGGTTTTCCGTCGCGAAACTCGCGTATTACGCGGTACCTCGTCGCGAAATTTGCAAATCGCGCGATTCTTCGTCGCGAAATTTCAAAATCGCACGGACCTTCGTCGTAAAATTCGGAAATCGCGCGGTTCGTCGTCGCGAAATTTTAAAATTGTACGGACCTTTGTCGCAAATTTGAAAATCGCGCGGTTCTTCGTCGCAAAATTCGAAAATCGCACGGACCTTTGTTACAAAATTCGGAAATGGCGCGGTCCTTCGTCGCGAAATTTCAAAATCGCACGGACCATCGTTGCAAATTCCAAAATCGCGCGAATCTTCGTCGCGAAATTTCAAAATCGCACGAACTTTAGTCGCGAAATTTGGGAACCGTACGATTCTTCGTCGAAAAATTTGGGAATCGCGCGAATCTTCGTCGCGAAATTTCAAAATCGCACGAACTTTAGTCGCGAAATTCGGGAACCGTGCGATTCTTCGTCGCAAAATTTGGGAATCGCGCGATTCCTCGTTGCAAATTCCAAAATCGCGCGAATCTTCGTCGCGAAATTTCAAAATCGCACGAACCTTAGTCGCGAAAAATTCGGGAACCGTGCTGTTCTTCGTCGGGAAATTCGAAAATCGCATGGACATTCGTCGCGAAATTCGGGTATCGCGCGGTTGTTTGTCGCGAAGTTCCAAAATCGCGAACCATCTTTGCAAAATTTAAAAATCCCGCGCGGTTCGTCGTGCGCGACGTGCCCGGCCATTTAGAGTGCGGCTTTCACGCGGCGAAAGAAATGGAAACGCGGCGCTAATTAACTCGGCTAAGTGGCCGGTGCCGCTGCTACCAGTATCCTATCGTCGACCCGTGTTAGTTATAAATCGATGTAACCATGCCAGCCGACTAATGAGATGAAATGTGATCGCCTTTCTCTCGTTAAACGCCGTGGCGAGGTGAAGTCGCGTCGACCGGTATTCGCGGTATCGATACCGATAAATGGGACCACGCGGCGGATATCGCGGCGGGCCCTCCGGATCGACGATATAACGAGAGTCTCGGCCGCGTTTCCTCTTGCGCAACGCTAGCACGCCTCTCTCCGCCGGTTGTTGTCATGTTAATCGAGGAGCAGCGTTGCGCAACTTTTTTTTTTTCCGCCGATAATACGCGTTACGCGTCTGAGCAAATATTTGACGATCCGGGCCTTCGAGGATGGGATCGAGAAGCGAGCTGAGGAGCTTGATCGCGTTCGATGCGATTTGACAGGAACGAGCGAAATCGTTCGAGCAAATACCGACTGTAAACCGAGTTAGCGACTGGCAGTGGTTTGCCTAGTGCAAAGAGCAGTGTAAAGAAAAATGGTCAAATTAATTTCCAACTTTCCGTAATATTTTCTCAAGAATTTTCC